ATGCGTCACAGGGCCGAGTGACCAATGGGCGACGGCGGGGCGGCAGAGGAGAGCGGGCAGTTTTTAAAAAGGTCAGATGTGGAGATTCTTCGAGGAGATAGAGCAGGTCATCGCACACGGAGCAAGGTAAGAGACGGCTGCAGGTTTCTGCTGTGTGTCTTCTTCGTTGGTGTTTTCAGTGAATTATTTCCAGATTAATTCGAGAAACAGCGTTTCAGTCAGTTTAGAACTTTTCAGGTTACTGAAATATTAGAAATATATCAAAACTATTAAAACCAAAGGTTGGAGTTTATCTCAGACACAAACTGAGCTGTGAGCGAGATCTCTCTCTACTGTGAGCTCACCATGGTATGTTGAAGGCTTTTATTGTGAAAGACAAACAGGAAGAAGCCTTTTTCACATGTGCAAATATAGTTACTTTGTTACTGTACTTAAGTAGAATTTTCAGGTATCTGAACTTTAATTGAGTACTTTTTTCTGGCTACTTTTTACTTTTACTCCCTACGTTTTTTAAACAAAATGTATTTTCTACTGCTGATGTTTTACGTATCAAACTGAATTGAGCCTAAACAGAAACACATGAGAGGAAATCCTGTTTGTTTGTTAATCATCAGGTAAGATGAGATGAACGAGGAACAGCTGTGGGCCACAGTCAGGGGTTAAAGTTTTTATTTTTCCATATTTAACCACTGCTGGTACTTCAGCATCCAGCTCGCTCTACAGAAGGGGAGTGACGTTTTTAAAGTGTCAGGTAATTTGAAAGGCAGCGTTTCTATGAGCTCAACAAACATCAGCAAACACACAAACTGTGTGTTTGTCTCACAGTGTGCTGCAGCTGCTTATTTCAGGGGGAGAAAAGACAGGGAGCTTAGAGTTAAAGGAAGGATGCTCATGTTGCTAAATCTGTGTGACATGATGTTTTTCACAGGGTGAAAGCTGCTGCTGAACAAACTGAGTCACTTAAAACTGCAGGGTTAGTTTGCTGCACTGTGGTGGAGGTTACAGGCGGAGTCGGCGTCTACCATGTAAAACAGCTGCTGTTTTATCTTTTTCTCTGCTCGTGTTCTTTCATTACAATTAAAATTTAAACTGGTTTAAAGGTTTTATTTCCACTGATATTGTTTTTTTTACTTGAATACTGCAGTATAATCAGTACTTTGACTTATACTGCAGTATTTTTAACACTGGTATCTGTACTTCTACTTAAGTACTGAATATGTGTCTGCTGAAAAAATAAAACTCGTCAGCTTGAAGAAGTTTCTCTAAACGTTGTTTATCTCCGTACAAATATTCATTATTCTATCTGGTTACTGACAGCACTTCCTGTTTACTGGGCGGAGGCAGATTCAGGGTTTGTGTGTGTGATGAGACAAACTCAATAATAATGTTCACAGTTTTTTTCTTTTGGTTTTTACTTCAAATGCAGTATTTTTACCCTTTGTTTAATAATATTTCAGTTCCTCTCTCGACCGTTATCATCAACAATAACCTGCTGATAAAAGTCTGTTTCTGTTTCCAGATGAGACTTTCTTTTCATCCTGGTGCCTCGCAGCTCGCCCTCCTCTCCTTCGCCCTCCTCTCCTCCATCCCACACCCCGTCACATCATACCCTTATCCTCCCACCGCCCTCCTGCCCACAGTGGGTGGATCTGAGCTGGAGTCCACCCTGCTGCACCTCCAGGCTGCTCTGGAAGAGCCGGGGGACGTCCGGAGTGAAGCCTGGGCCGAGTGGCCTCGAGACATCCAGCCAGGTGAGGAGGATGACCAGTCGTGGGAAGAAGCAGCTCTGCTGCAGGCCCAGAGAGGAGACCTGATGGCCCAGCCGTTGTCGCCCTTCCCTGGGGGTCACTCTCTGGAGAGAATGCACTACCAGGAGGGGGGAGAGGGGGAGGACGGGTGGAAGAGGAACGATGCTCTGACCTCCATTGCGGGAGGACTCCAAGCTGTCAGCCGTGAGAAGGGAGGGTTTGGTTTCCGCTTTGGGAGGAAAAGATGGACAGATGGGGAGTGGATGGAAGGAGGAGAGGGAGAACAGAGGAGGACAAGCGGAAGTGACGAGGACGGAGTCAACAGGGACAAGAGACGAGAGCGATGAAAGAAAGAAAGGCTGATACGCTTCAGAGGGGACTGCCAGATTACAGCACACATCATGAACTCTGTAAATGTGACACCTTTTAATTTCATTTTCAGAACAACATGGCACAAAAGTAAACACATAAACGTGGTAACCTGAGAAACGAGATTTTATCCTATGCTCTTGTTCTCCTTCTGAAACAATATGAAGGCTCATGTTACTGGATGTACAGAACAAGCGCGCAGCTCGTCGTGTCTAATCTGAAAGTGTAATATAAGCATGTGCACGGAGCTTCTGTCAGTGTGTGTGTTTGTTGGCTTGAACATGACTCATGAATAAAGAGCTGGGAGGTGCAGCTCTCGGCACAGCTGCAAAGGCTGGACGTTGTCTTGTTTTCACTCTATACTCTTCAGAAGCACCTTTACCTCAGGAACAACTGCACCAGCTCCTCCTGGGAGCAAAAAGGAAACAGCACCACAGAGTCCTCCTGCTCCAGCCACTCCCTCCAGGTGACATCACCTGCGCTTCATCTCCCGACGTCACATTTTCAGCTCCCTCCTCTGCTCTGATAGAGCTGCATGTTTGTCCCTTATTGACTCGTTTTTATCTTTACGTGATGACGTATGAATCCTGCCTCCAGGTACAAACTACCCTCTGTTTATTAAGGCTGTTGTGTTTTTAACTTGTTTTAATGTTTTGTATCTTGTTCTATTTAATCTGAACAAGCCCCTAAAAACAGTCAGTGATCCCTGTCGGCCTCTCACGGTTTTTATCATCACTGTTCATTTTAAAGCTCAGTTTTTAAACCCTTACGATGTAACTACAGCCCAGCAGCAGTATATGAATGACTAACCTCGTATTGTGGATGGATTATCTCAGTTGTTCTCCTGACTGAAGTTTGGTCCGTTTACAGCATCCTGCCATGCGATTGCATTTGTCTCTAACCATCAGGAACCTTAACGTTAACTTTTAGTGGAAAAAAGTTAGTGTTCATCCTCCAGCTTCACTGTGCTAATGCTATGCTAACATAGCTGTGTCGCTAGCAATCACGTAGTACAGCGGTCCCCAACCCCCGGGCCTCGGACCGGTACCGGTCCGTGAGTCGTTTGGTACCGGGCCGCGAGAGTTGAGCCTCAGGTGTGAAATGTCTGGTTTTCAGGGTTTTTATCGGTTTTCAGTGTTATTTTGTTATCGTTTTTATCGTTAACTCTGTTTTCCTGGGTCTTTTCACGTGTGTTATGAATAAATCTTCTGTTTTTCGGTACCGGTACTAGTTTTACTCTGTTGTATTTATCCGCGACACCTTAAAGGCCGGTCCGTGAAAATATTGTCAGGCATAAACCGGTCCGTGGCGCAAAAAAGGTTGGAGACCGCTGACGTAGCACATCATTATATAGCATTATATAGAAACTAAAGTAAAATCTAAATTTAAAGTTAAAACAGACACAAGTAAGACAGACGTTGTGCAAGAGAGCAGTGCAAAATGCATCCATAAATATTAAGTTCAATGAATGACTGCAAACACAGCCAGCTCTGACTTAAAAAAAGATTTATTATCACTTTAAGTCTTTATTCTAAAAAATATTTCCCAAAATAACTCCGTGTGTAAAATATCTGTACTAGGGTAAAAAGCAACGACTAGAATGAAGTAGTGTCAAAGAAACGCGCCATTAAAATACCTCAGAAGATGTTCAGGACAGAAACTCATCGATTTTACTTTATTAGTTATAGAGAATAAAAATACAGAAGCATTAAAACTCTGTAACATTTGTTTTATGCTTCCTAAAATATATCTAAATATTTAACAATGGAACAAAAACACAACAGTAAAGTTATGTTTGTTTGTTTATTCATCATCACCTTTATTTATAAAGCACTTTAAAACAACCACAGCAGAATAACGAGTGACCTGCACACAGAACAAAAGTTGGTCCCAGAAATATTAACGTTCTTTCCATTTTTCAAATTAAAAGCATTAAATGTTAAACACCTGTCAGTCCTGCTTTTATTGACCTCGTCATTATTCATCATCACACAGTGAAAACACAAAGTCACAGAGTCATACAGCAGATATTCCACCGATTTATTAAAACATGAAATCAGTGTCATAGTTGTGTTTCCTGTACTCTAACTGCTCACCCTCATGATGGCGTGACGGTTAGCGTTAATGATACCACAGTGACGGTCTGTATGTTAGAAACAAAGATGATTAAACCTGTGCCGTCTTTAGTTACCAGTTTAGAAAATACTGGCGGCAACGTCCTACATCACCTCGTTCTCGAGTTCTCGCAGCCACAAGTGTGCGCACACCTCGCCCACCCAACCGTGTGACGACACCGCGTCATCAGAATTTTACCGCTGTGGGTCAAAATGTGTAAACTTAAAGCACATATATTTTGTAGCATCATGTCAGACCAAACATGTTCTCAGGCTCTGAGCTGCTTTAAAAAACACTGACGTGCGACTTAAACTCTGATACTGCCCTGAGACGTGACGCGCACCGCAGCTTTAAAAACACCCATCCATCCACTTCAGGGTCGCTGGAGCCTCAGCTGCCATAGAGCGAAAGGCGGGGTAAACCCTGGACAGGTCACCAGCCTGTGGCAAGGCTGACACACAGAGACACACAACCATTCACACTCACGGGCAATGTAGGTTAATCAATTAAGCTATCCTTACAAACTACATGTCCTTGGACGAACCCACACAAACACAGGGAGAACATGCAAACTTCATACAGAAACACTGCCTGAATTGAACTCAGGACCATTTTGTTGTGAGGCAACAGTGCCAAACACAATGCCACCGTGCCGCCAGCTTCAAAAACACACAAAACACAACAAAAGCAGAAAAATGCAGAAAAATCGCATTGAGGCTGTTGTTGTGATTTGGTGCCATATAAATAAAAATGAATTGAGTTGTATGACCTGCTCTGCCCCCCAACAGCAAACATGTGTTACAGGAATCATGTGATTAAAACACACATTATTATTACATTATTTTCACAGATTAACCCTTAAAGCTTTCTTTAAGCGTGTTTCAGTTCAACTCTTCACATCTTTTGGTTTCTGTCACTTCCTCAGCCGGTCCGTCACATTATTGCGTCCCCAGAAACACTGTGGTTGTGCTTGGTCTGCTTCTGCAGTGTTTTCTGTTTGCTTTTTTTGTTGTTGTTGTTGTTGTTGAAGTTGGACCTCTCAGGGCCACCGTAGATTTGGCTGCAAGGGGCATTAACAATTCTTTAAACCCATCCATTGAATTAAATGGAATCCCATTTAATGCTGATCCACCTGTAAAGTGCAACAAATGTTTGTGTTGTTTCGGTAAATCTGGTCCCACCGAGTCTCGATGTGCTTCTGTGGAAGCTCTGATCTCCATCTGCAGGGATGAACGCAGCAGCGTTATTTTACATGCTCAGTTACTCATAACTAGCAAACCCCATTGATACAAACTTTAGCTCAATTTGAGCAGTGATGCGTCTCAGAGTCGGTTTGAGGTAAACAAAAAAAGGAAGTTTGAGTTAAAAGAAACAGCTGGAGGAACAGTTTGAAACTCATCAGGTTAACTGGTCAGTCTGGCGGCGTTCTCCTCCTCCTTTACAGGAGAGGTGAAGAAGAGCAGGGTGGAGTGGGTGGAGAAGAGTGTCACAGTGATGGCAGCACGAAGTTTAAAGACGGTGGTGAGACCTGCCACACCTCCAGGGGCATCAGTGCCTCTGGGTGTGGCAGCTGGCACATCTGGAAAAGCTCCATCAGTGCTGACAGGTAGGTAGCATTTGGAGCATCCACCCAGACGATGTTTTCATGTTTCAGCAGGACGATGCTAAACTGCAGACTGCATCTACTCTTAGGAGAAAGTCCACCTGCAGTCCAGACCTCTGACCAGCTGTGAACATCTGGAACATCATGCAAGCAACAACAGCAGGAAGCAGAGTCAGGACAGCTGCTGTCCTCAGCTCAGAGGAGGCGACAGAGACGGTGATGGTGCTATTACTCACTCTGAGCCTCATTCACCAACATGTGCACATGAAACATAAATACACTGTGCAGAAAACAAGCACACACAAAACTCCGTGAAACATGCACACCGCCTCATTGTGTGCTTCATCTTATGAGCCTTCACTGTGACTCGTGCACGCTCGGAGGCAGTTACACATCTGAGGGCAGAGAATCGACACGTGTAGGTAATAAAACATCTGAGAACGATGAGAGAGAAACTCACTGTTACTCCTGACGAACATCGTTCAACTCCTGCGACTCTGGTGTATCTGTGCTGCTCCTGCCTGCGAGCACAGACAGACAGCAAGCATTAAAACTCATCTGCTGTGTTTCTGCATGCATGCAGAGAAACACACACACACACACAGAGTGGGTAAGTCAGATGCTTTTGTTTGATGGTCTGATTCTTGGTGCCATCGCCACACGTAAAATCACCCGGTGCTGACACACGGGCTGTTCGTTCTTACCATTATTGCGTCTTTTACGTAGGACCAGCAGAATCACGCCTACACCGATGAGCACGAGCAGGAGTGCTGCCACCAGACCAGTGACAGCAGATCCATCGTCATCAGGAACAGGTAACAGGCTGAGCTCTAAACACACAAAACAAGAACATTACTTCACCTTTGGTTCATTTTCAGTTGTGCTGCTGTGAAAATCAGCTGTGCAGGTGAGGAACATGTGACCCTTAAAGCTGAACACAGCAGCTTCTAAACAGACTAACAGCACTGCTCTCTCTGCTGATGACTACACTGAGGGAAACAGCGCCCCTGTGGATGTCAGGTAGCACACGGTATTACACTGCTGTGGTACTGATGCATAAACTGACCAATCAGATGACTGGACAGGAAGAAACCTACACAGTGAACAGCAGAGTCTGTTTGTGTCTCCAGTTAAAAGAACATTTTGACAACCATGACAGTTTCTTACCCCAGCTCTTAGAAATTCTCACACCGGTCGCTTCGTGAAAAACCTCGCAGCTGTATGTAGCCGGGTCAGACTTTAAAACCTCCACGTACTCTCTCCTCTGGAACGTGTCGTCGTTATTGGGGAGAAGTCCTGAGCTCTTCAGGCCGTCGTCTGCGGTCAGAACACGTTCGTTCCTCCTGATCGTCACTGTGACGTCTTTGGGGTAGAAGCCCGTGGCGAGGCAGGTGAGGACGATGTTTGTCTGCACTCTGGAGTTCTTTGCAAACACGTGCAGATCAGGTGGAGCTGGATGGAGGAAATGGAAAGTGATAAGTGCGTTGGTTTGATGTTTATGTGGCGTCTGGCACACTGTGTGAGACGAGGCAGACGTGGTGAGGCTCTAGTTTGATGGTTTTTGTGTGTTTTGGTTCAATTTGTCTCAAAGGTGCGTGAAAGAGACTCGGTGACAGTGGAATAATCCATCAGTGAAGGCGCTTCTATGAAACTGACCAAGAACACAATAATTATGTGAGGTCATATTACCACAACTAATTCTAAAAAGTCTATTAACAATGTTTAAAAATAAATAAATGATAATATTATTTTTATTTATGACAAACATACATTTCTTTTTGAGCTGCTGTTGTCCATAATTCACAAACTTGCTCAGCCAATCGATGCACTCGTTCTCCAGGTATCCCTTGGTGTACTCTTTTAGCACCTGGACGCTGTCCCACTTCCTCTTGGTGGCTTCTGCCTCCGGAATCGGAGCGACCCAGACTCCGTTTTTATCATCAAAGGACAGGAAGTCGTCTCCATCGTAGCTGTACATGTGCACGCCTCGGACAAACCTGAGCGTGCCGTCAGGATTCGCTTCAGCCTCACAGCCCACAATCCACTGAAGAACGTGAGGGTCTGAAGGAAAAACAGTGACAGAAATGAACAAGATATCAGAAGAACAGAGATTCAGAGAGGACACCATGATGTGTGCGTCAGGATTAAAACGGAGCGACAACTTACTGGTTGAGTCATTCTGCCTCATTCGCTCCATCAGGATGCCGATGTTGACCTTGAACCACTGCTGCTTGCTCTTGCGGGACTGTGTGCCTTTATCCCAGTAATCAGCAGGTAAACGCTCTCTCATCCACTTCTGTTTGGGAACCTTTGCCTGAGTATCGCTGTCAAAGTAGTCGATCATCCTGTTGTCCAGCAAACCCATGGCTGTGAACTCGTGGATGCCCGGGAGGCCGACAGGTTTGGAGAACGCCGTGTAGATGTAGGTGAGGGAGTGAGTCTCTGAAAGTCACAGAAGGAAATTTTATTAAACACAGGTGAGATGCATCAGCAGATCTCACTCATGTTTTTGAAATAGGCCTCTCTCTGGGTGCGTTTTATGAAACGTAAAAGACTTATCTGTTCACCTCAGCAGTAGGAACAGAAGCCTTACTGTGTTAAAAACAACCTTTCCCACATGCTACACTCCATCATTAACCTCAGTGTGTGAAGAGGACTCTCCATTTACATGCACAAACTGGAGTCTATTAGATAGATATGATACAAACCACTGCAGCGCAGTACCTGTAATACCTACAGCATGTTCTAATCGCTCTAATAGGATATTATGGTCGACAGTCTCGAACGCTGCACTGAGGTCTAGCAGGACAAGCACAGAGATGAGTCCACTGTCAGAGGCCATAAGAAGATCATTTGTAACCTTCACTAAAGCTGTTTCTGTGCTGTGCTGAGCTCTGAAACCTGACTGAAACTCTTCAAATAAACCATTCCTCTGCAGATGATCTGTTAGCTGTTTGACAACTACTCTTTCAAGGATGTTTGATATAAAGGAAGGTTGGAGATTGGCCTATAATTAGCTAAGACTGCTGGGTCTAGAGATGCTTTTTGAGTAAAGGTTTAACTATCAGGTGATATGCAGGGTCAATGGTAAGTGGCCTGTATTTGTATCGCGCTTTACTAGTCCTAAGGACTACATCCAGTCATCCACACATTCACACACTGGTGATGGCAGCTACGTTGTAGCCACAGCCACCCTGGGGCGCACTGCCAGAGGCGAGGCTGCCAGGACACTGGCGCCACCGGGCCCTCTGACCACCACCAGTAGGCAACGGGTGCCCAAGGACACAACGACCGAGACTGTCCAAGCCGGGGATCGAACCGGCAACCTTCCAATTACAAGGCAAACTCCCAACTCTTGAGCAGAACTATGTATTTTATTTCTCTGTCACAGGCTGTAGCTTTGAAAGTTTACTCAATGTGGTTGAATTCGTTTTTTGTGTATATGCATGTCATCTGTTTGTGGTTAGACTGGCTCAGAGATGTGCATGGAGCTGCTGCTGGTTCAGCATGATTAGCACACTTGGAAGCAGAAAGAGATTTATTGATAGCAAATGCTTGTTTATGTATTTAAGAGACAGAAAGCTTGTCGTTAATTCATTTTATTAAATGTAACATAAATTGTTTAAAAGCTATTGATTTATGTCAATGTCACGATTTGACTTCATCAAAATAATTTTCTACATAGTAAAATGTGAACATTTCTGCACTTTCTGCTTAAATGTTAGAATGGCATTTGTTTGTGCGTCTTTATAGTTTTCACGGTGCCATATTGTCACAAACTGGTTTAAAGAGGGGAGAATAAAGTCGCATCAGTCGAAGCTCTCTGCGTTATGAGTGTGGCCACTACCAGCTCCACCACCATCATCAAGTTTGCTGACGACACCGTCGTGGTGGGCCTGATCTCTGATAACAACGAGACGGCCTACCTGAAGGAGATTAGGAATCTGGAGAACTGGTGCCAGAGGAACAACCTCCTTCTAAATGTCAGTAAGACAAAGGAGCTGATAGTGGACTTCAGCACTAAGCAGGAGAGGAACTACCAGACCCCCGTCATCAACGAGTGCCCAGTGGAGAGAGTGGACAGCTTCAAATACCTCGGAGTTCACATCACGCAGGACCTGTCATGGTCCTGTCACATCAACACCGTGGTGAAAAAGGCCCGACAGCGTCTCTACCACCTCAGACGCTTGAGAGACTTCCAACTGCCCTCCAAGGTGCTCAGGAACTTTTACTCCTGCACCATAGAGAGCATCCTGACGGGAAACTAGGGCTGTTTGATATAACGATATATATCGGATGACGATATGAAAACGTCTATCGTTTCATTTTACGCTATCGTTTGTTTCATGGTGTAGCAAAATAAACTGTTTACGGCAATATTTTCTCATCGCTTTGATGGTCACTGTAGTGGCTGTATTACTTTCTTAAAGTTCTCTCTTCCTCTTATTTATTTATTTATTCTTTGAAAGAAAAACAGCAGAGAAGAGTGACGGGGCTAAAGGGCAAAAAAACAAAAACAACAAAATAAGCAGACAAAAAATCCATCTATCAATCACCTGGATCACCTGTTGAGAACATAATAAACAACATCACAATGATATATGTGAATATAACAGTAAATACTAAATGTTAAACATTATTGTGCAGCACATAAGATCAACAGAACACAGTGTGCTTTGAGGTAGGAGCCAAAAAGGGTGTAGTTTGTGGGTGTGACCACCCGTGTGTACACCTGTGAGCATGGACGCGCTTGTTTTTAAAAGGTTCCTTCATGTAATGATCTGCTAGAGGGTGTGGGGGGGCCACAGCCCCGTCCCCCAGGGCGTGAAGCAGGTATGGAGGAGATCAAAACTCCAGACATCCAGAGGCCCCCAGAACACAAGAGACCAAGGAAGACCAACAGAGGGCAGCTGCGCCACTGTCCCAGAAAGAGCTGAGGAGAGTCCCAGATGAGGGCTCACTCAGCAGCCGCGGAGCAGAAGCCAGGGGGAGTTGCAGTGACGCGCCCGTGAGCTCCGCCGGCAGCCAGCTGCGCCTGAGTGACCGAGCCCCAGGCCGAGAGGCCGGGGGCACCCCACCTCCGAAGTGGCCCGAGCGAGCCCCAGGCTCCAGGCCCCGATAAGCGGCCGCCAAGGAGTGAGCCGGTGTGTACCTGGACGCCCATCCCCAGACACAAAGAACCACCAACACACTGATGTCTGAGGGAGTCCGCCACTGGCAGGGGAAGTGGTGGTGGGGGGAGATAGGCCTCCAAACCTTGGAGGGCCTGAGGTGTCCCCAGAGAGGTGGCGCCTGACACCCAACCTGACATATAGACACAGACATACAGGCACACACAGACACAAACATCCATTCCCACCCTCATGCTCTCATATGCACTTACTCCACACTCAACCAACGTGGAGACAGACATAAAGAGACGTTGTACACACGATCACACTCCCCAAGCGTACTCTACAAACCGGGTCTAGGTGCCCCCGCCCCTGGAGGGGGGAACTGCACCCAGACCCAGGTGGTGTTTCCCTTTTCCCTGCGGTGGGGAGAGGCAGACCGCCCCGACTCCGCAGCAGCAGGGAGGCCCCACACTCCGCAGGTCGCAGAGAATGGGGGTGGGAGAAGACTCCAAACCTCCCTCCACCCGCTCATTGTAGTGTTGATGCATGTGTGTTCTAAGGTGCAATTAAAACCCAGGAGGGCATGGAGCTACCTGCCAGAGAGCAGCAGGTAAGCGCATAGTCCCTCCTGCTAGCCCTCAATGTCTACGTGTATTTAAAATTGGCACCCTGGTGACACACGGTCTTTCTCTTATATTTAATATAACCACACTACGGACGGACAAGCGCCTGTTTTTATGTGTTATCAAAATAAACGGAATCACATGAAAGAGTATGCAGAGTTTACGGATGAGAAGTAAAAAAGACGCCAGGTGCTAAAAAATAAACCTTAGACTCAAACGTTAGAACACGCTTTTCCCCGCAGCACGCCGTGTAATAAATACTCACAAAGGAAACGGCGCCGTTACAACTTATGTCTAAAAATGTATCGTTTCATGCATCGGTTAAAACACTCCAGGTACACGACGCCCAGCTGGAAACATTTCAGCAACACGAGTTTCACAGAATTTACAGAAAATGTTACATTTTTGTGATTTATATCGTTATCGGACGATAGATGTTTTATATCGGGAGATGAGATTTTGGTCATATTGCACAGCCCTACGGGAAACATCTTAACCTGGTTCGGGAACAGCACCATGCAGGACAGACGAGCTCTACAGTGGGTTGTGCGGTCAGCTGAGCGCACCATCCGCTCCGAGCTCCCTGACCTGCACTCAATCTACAGCAGGCGGTGCTGGACCAAGGCCAGGAAGATGGTGAAGGACCTCAGCCATCCCAACAACGGACTGTTCTCTCTGTTGAGGTCAGGAAAACGATTCCGCTCCCTGAAGACCAACACAGAGAGACTGAGGAGGAGCTTCTTCCCGCAGGCGATACGGTCTCTCAATCACACCACCACACAGTACTGACCCACACATACAGTTCTTACACACACTGGACTTTCTGGACTTTGTTTACACCAGTAGCTGCTGCACAACTACACTGCGTGGTCATCTAATCGGATCACTTTATCACAAGTCGCTTAAATAAATCACTTTAAGCATATTTGCACTGCACAAGACACTTACACATGTGGATTACACAACCCTGCACATTATATTTATTCATACCATTTATTACTCGTACAGCTGCTCTTATTGTTTCTTATATTTCTTCATATATTCTTATATATTTCTATATTGTGTATTTTTTTGTACAGTTATTTTATTTTTAACTTTAATTTTTATATTTTATTTTATTCCTTCCTAGTTAAATTGACCCTTTATTTTAATTTTCATATTTATTTCCTCTCCTATCGTAGTCTTTTATTTTAGGTCACGAGCAGTTGTGTAAGCATTTCACTGCATATCGTACTGTGTATGACTGTGTATGTGACAAATAAAGTTTGAATTAGAATTTGAAATCTTCCTGCTCACTTCAATCCAAACTCTCATCGTCAAGCATTAGTTACCATGGTGACGGAGCAGGTCAAACGAGGCGCTTTAGTGAAAACTGTGACTGAGCTCAGCGTCAGTGGTTGATTATTAACCTTTATAGAGCAGCGCTCACACCACATCCTCACACTGATCACAGATCAGTTATAAAAGTAGAGACAAACTAACAGCAGAGCATCGTCTCGGTGCTTTTAAAGCTTTAAACGTCTGTTTCTGTGAACCAGGATGTGTGAACCAGACCTTCAGACAGCTGCTTCAGGTGGAGCAGTGAGGTGGTGCCACCACACAGAGTGGTGTCTGAGGCAAAGCGGGTGTCATGTTACTGCTACACAAACTGACACCTCTCTGACCTGTGCACGATCCTGAGTCTGCTCTCTCTCTTTGTTTAAGCCTCTTTAGAAACCGACACTTCTCATTAAACCGTTGGTGATTTCCTTTTTCACGTTTCCTGCCAGCGAGGCGACAAAACTGCAGCTGTGAAGGTACCGATACTGATCAGCCTTCATCTGTATTTTACTCAGACTGTGTGTGTGTGTGTGTGTGTGTGTGTGTTCCTCTTGTAGAGAACAGATGTTGAATCCAGCAGTGACAGCTGTTCTTCAGAGTGTAGAAAGCTGACTGCGTGGGCTCGTTTTCTGTGCACATGATATTTTTCAGACTTCCTTATTTATTTTTATTTTGAGCTGCTAGTTTTCATGTTTTCTTGGGTAAAGTTGAATCAGTATCAAGTATCAATATCAAGTCACTCTGAGTTTGTATTTCAAAATAATTGCACTTTGAAATTGTACAGAATTTCAAGTGGCTCTTATTTTGAAATCCAAACTCAGGCTGAGCTGATATGGAGCCAAAAACTGTTTCTGTGTTTTCTGTGTAATGTTTTCACTTATGTTGGTAAAAAGACTCCAGTGAACAGGATTTACACAGGCGTTATATAAAATTTGAGAAATAGTTTCTCAAGTATCTTCATAACTCTGCGTTATTGCACCTACATTATAACCAACCCGGAACTACTGTTACATTTGTTGCACTGTCGGCTGCGCAGATTACTCTTAAACATACATTTTTAATGCCAACAAGTTTATTTTAAAGGATATATGAAAGTCACTTTGCCAAAAGCTGACTGCAGCTTCGACTTTGTGACAGGAATGTTGTTTGTGGCTCACAGTGACCGGATATCATGATGAGGGAAACAGCTGACATGTTTACAGCAGTTTAAATAGGAGCGGTCAGAACAGCGGTAGCACTGAGTCACTGTCGGTCTGTTTCATCTGTTTCTGCTTAACGTGGACTTTATGTGTTGCTCAGTATTTTGTAGTTTGCCACCTTTACCGTGACACACAGTATAAACACGCAGGCTGTGCGCTGTGAAATATTCACGGGTTATTTCACTTGTTTCTACCTCACCGCTCAGAGGAACCGCGTGGGAGTGGGACCCCGCTTTGTTCACGACGCTCAGTCGGGAAATAACGTGAAAATTCAAGATGAACTGACGTCACGAGCGCGGCCGCCGTTACCGTGACGTCATTTGTAGATGTTGGCGTTAAAGTTTGAAGTTACTTCCTCGTCTCTGTATCGATGAGGATGAAAATTCATCTGATCCGGACTTTATCGATGAACAGATCGATAAAAGTAAATAAAATAAAGGCGCGAAACCAAACGGACGTGTCTGTGCGCGTGCAGCTGATGCTGAATGAGTTTCCGTTAACCACGTGTTACCACGCGCACAAAGACTAACCGCTGCTTCTCCACGGTAACCGTCACACGTGCGTAGACTGTCCGCCGCCCTCCGGCTCGGTGCCAGTATTTGTCAAAAACTGCTCGTATTTAAACTGCTATAAGTAAGTTGTTGGGCTATAATATGTGAAACATGTCAAATGCTTCCCTCATGGATGACACAAAGTCATCTTGAGCCACAAACAACATTCGTGTAGCAAGCTAGATCAGTTTTTGGCAGCGACTTTAACATAACCTTTATTTATGCAGTTAAACAAATCTCATTAACATCAAACATGTCTTTTGTCAGAGTAAGCTGGCCAACAGCAGCAGAACTGGGAGCAAATATTACGATAGTTCTGGAAAAATATTGTAAGTGGGGATAAAGGACTGGTTGGTGTCAGTACAATAACACAGAGTTGTGAAGATACTTGAAAAACAGATATTTTTTAAATTCTATATTTAACCTCTTTATGTTCAGCGAAGTCTGTTCACCAACATGCGTAAAGATATTACACATAAAAATACACAGAAACATTGGACATCCGGGCTCTCGTTGGCTGAGCACGTAACTCAGGCTCGTGCCCGGCTCAGGTTCACTCTCTTTGTTTCTCAATAAAAGAGCGACCCACAGACACGCGGGACTAACGGCACAGCCTGTGTTAGAAACGGGGACTCACCGGCGCTCTCCGTTAGTCCTGGAGCCCACAGCAGCAGAAAAGCCACGATGAACATTTTAAATCCCTTTAAAGCCTCGGCTCCCCGATCACACCGAGTTCATCCGAGTTCACGCTGCGTGTCCGACAGAGAGATGCTCTGAATGAGGCAGCGCTCAGAGTCACACAGCCCACGGGGGAAAGTACCCTCTACACCACGTGAATATAACTGAAAGATGAGTTATGTGTGGAAGTTGCTGAGTAAAAGTAACCTTTGATGTGAAACCCTGTGTATTTATAGCACATTTAAAACAACAGAAGATTATTTTTTACGTAATTTAAATTAAATAACTGTGGTTCAAAGAAACTGTTTGTGAAATATCTTTTTATTATTGTTTATGACATTTTAAAATCTTCTGTCCAGGTCTGATCTCAGGTTGCTTCTATTTCTGTGGATTTCTGGTAGAGGTTTATTATATTTGATGCAAAGCCATCTGATGACTAAAGTATCATTTTAACCACACTCAGTAAGCCCGGGTCAGGATGGAGTGAGTGAGCGAGGCAGACCGGGTTGAACCCGTGGAGGTGGAGTCACACTTCCTGCTGTCAGGAGAGGAGGTGGAGGAGGGCCACGTGGCGAGAGCTGGGAGGACAACATCCGGGTTTGAGGAGCCTGAGAAGGAGCAAAGTCCCCCGTGGATGAACAGTGTCGTGCACGCCTGGACTCTGAAGTCGTGGCTTTGGTTTCCCAGCTGTGAAACACGACCTGTGAGGATCGTCCTCCCGTGACGGCCGTGGTGCAGAGGGCTTTATTACTTTGGCCTCCATCAGAGACATCCAGATCATTCCTTCCTCTGATGCCTGATCTTGGAGAATCTGACTCGACTTATTTCTGACAGTGATCGCCCACTGTGCCATGCTGTAGCTTAGCATGTGAGCATCTCTCTGACCCCGGACGCGTGGATCATATAAGACTGTATGTAATTCTTAACTGTGTGTATTTTGTGCAACACCAAGAAAGAACAAATAAGAAAAACACTGACACAACATCTACAGTGTGCACGTGCTGAAGCTCGGCGCTCCAACAGCGACGCTTCAGAAAGAGCTCAGTGTTTGTAAATCTGCTGAGCTACACGTGTTTAAACAGGGTTTTAACAGGAAGCTGCGACGTTTGGTGCATAAGAACAAATCTTTATTTATAAAGTACTTTAAAACAACCACAGCTGATACATTGGAACTAATTAAAAAAAAGTTACATACGATATAAATAAAAGCCAAATCATAAAAAGAATAAAATAATTAATTAAATAATTAATTTAATCAATTATTTTCGTAAATGCAACGATAGAAAAGGCCCCGCCCCCTCTGAGCTTCCTCCTGATCTTCCAGGAGCTGCTGGTCAGCTGACCTGAGCGGCCAGCAGGGTGTGTGAGGATGAAGACGCTCAGAGAGGTGGGCGAGACTGAAGGCGTTTAAAAACAAACATGAGAATTTTAAAATGAGCTCTGAAGGACACAGGCAGCCGGTGAGGCCAGCACATGTGCTCTCTTACCAGATCCTGTTCGCGCTCAGCTGCAGGCGCCAGAGCAGCGACTGACTGACCCAAACACCGGGAGAGTTACAGTCGTCCACACGGAAGAAATAAAAGCATGGATCGCTGTTTCCAAGTGCTGCCAAAGAGAAGATTTCACTGCTGCCAGTCGCCTTACATTCTAAAAACTGGACCACTGCTCTGATTTTAGTCCAATTTAAAACCAAAGTCAGTAACAAAGGTCTAAAATAAACTTCCAGGAGTCCCAAATCTACAGAGGAGGACTCACAGGGACCACTGGGTCCAAACACCAGCACCTCTGTCTTCACTTAAATTTAAAAAGTTGAAAGCGAAACGAGCTTTAACGTCAGAGAGAGGTTTTATGGAGACGCCATCCTTCTGCTCTTCTAAGGAGGAACCCAGAGGCCGTAAATACAGTAAAACAGCAGTGGACACAGATCCTAACGGCTCCTGTGTTCTCGGGGATCATGGAAGTAACACATAAACCCAACAGGACTGTACACAACACATGCAAGCAGCTTTTACATAAAAGACTGTAACACATTTTAAACACAGCTGTCCTGTGTCACAGCCAGGATCATTTTCAACACTTTGAACAATGAAGGAAGAGATTTCAGGATGACCGATGTCTTACAGCAGATATTTCACTGATTGATCAAAAGATTGAATCAGTTTCATCACGAGGAGAGAAACACATTAAATATAAAGAAGATAATCTTATTACATAACAAATAAATTGTGTTAAGAATCAAATTATGATACAAAAAAGACTAAATTAAGGTGCATAAAGAAAGTTGATGAGCATTGCTGGTCCATGAACGCGTGTTCAGCCTTGTGACGACTCGTCTGCTGCTCTTCAGCTGTTTGTCAGCTTCAGTCTGAACATTAGAAAAAACAATTTAACACAATTAAATGTGTTTAATTGGCAGCCTGTTACTGTGGCACACGGACGGACTGAATACACTTCATGACGAGCCTGTTGTGACCCTGCTGCTAGCATTAGCCGCTAACAGTTCTGCTGAGTTTCCAGGTGGGATTTAAATCTGGTTCTTGTGAGCGTCGTAGATTAAAAGTGCTCGTTACTGTCTGAAAACAGAACTTTTTCAAATGTTTAATCATCATGTTTCTGCCCCAAACACCCAAACCAGCACTGACAGATATACTGACAGAGTACCACGCCTCCTTTTCACGATTCTTTATTTCTGATGGCAAATCCATTGTAATGAGGAAACAGTCCGGAGGCTACTGTGGCACATAAAATCTATTCTTAAATAATGAATTTAAAATAATAAATATTTTTAAAATACTTCCTCCCACCTGGTTTGACACTGAAACTTGATGAGTGATCAGGCTCTGAGCTATGAACAGTTCCTCTGACCCATCTTCTTTAAAAGCATTTTGTCACATTTATATGACGATCGAGCAGATTTAGCATCTATTTTATTCCCGCTGCTGCACAAACCTGCTGTAAGAGTTTGCTTTGAGTCAACATGTATTTACAAAGCACCTTTAAAAATGATCCCACTTTCTTACCGTCTTAGAGCAGGCTCATTTAAATGTCCCTGTGATGGAGGTTCGGCTTAAAGGGGCAGGAACACTTTTTAAAAGCCATGTGTTGGATTCAGTGGAGTCACATGACTCTGGCTGTTAGCTCCAACAGCTGTGAGGATGAAAGAAAAATTAGTTTATATGCTCAGGTACTCAGAACACATCAGTGTCTGCCTGCTCTGGCATCTTCACGCAGTCTCTTTGATGAATCCTTTTACATCCAAGTTTAAAGTGTGAATACAATCAGAATGCAATGATTACAATGCAACACACTCCTGCTATAAACCAGGAGTCGATTTATACAAACACAACTTACTAACATGAGCTTTAGACCTGCTAATCATTTTCAAACCAAACTTTGGTGTCTAACAGAGATTTGAGTTGACAGCAGATAAACGTTGTCTTCAGACTGACAGATGAGGAAACTCTAAGGTTGCTCATCAGGCCCCTCTTCTGTGGAACCAGCTTCCAGTTTGGATTCAGGAGACAGACACTATCTCTACTTTCAAGATCAGGCTTCAAACTTTCCTTTTTGCTAAAGCATATAGTTAGGGCTGGACCAGGTGACCCTGAATCCTCAGTTATGCTGCAATAGACGTAGGCTGCCAGGGATTCCCATGATGCATTGAGTTTTTCATTCCAACTTTCGCCAAAGTGACGCTCCATAAATTATTGTAGAGTCTTTATTACAACATAAAGCACCTTGAGGCGACTGCTGTGATTTGCCAGTATATAAAAACTAACCTGAACTAAACTGTATTAAACACAGGCGTGTGAGTATGAACAGTTAGCAACGAGGTACAGTTGTTACCCAGTACACCAGGCCTTACCATTTGTCGTGTTTTTTATACAGAACCAGGAGAACCACAGCGACACCGACGACCACGAGCGGGACGACCACAGCAGCGACGGGGATGTGAACTGAGCTTCCTTCTGAGTCTGGGAGCAGACGATCGTCTGAAACACACAACACTGTGTTTGTTACTGTGACACAAATCATGAAATCAGCTGTGCAGGTGAGGAACATGTGACCCTTAAACTGAACAGAGCAGCTTCTAAACAGACTAACAGCACTGCTCTCTCTGCTGATGACTACACTGAGGGAAACAGCGCCCCCTGTGGATGTCAGGTGGTACACGGTACTACACTGCTGTGGTACTGAGGCAGGCCAGGCTGCATAAACTGACCAATCAGATGACAGGATGGTAGTGCCCAGCCTGTGACACCTGCGCGTGTTTTGTGTGTTAGTAAAGGAAACCATGGCTATAACTGGCTGTGTTATATCCACGTACAGCAGAAGGTTTCTTACCCCAGTCCTTCACAGCATGCTCATTGGTTAAAACCTCCACGTACTCTCTCCTCTGGAAGGTTTCATGGTGATTTGGAAGAAGTCCTGAGCTCTTCAGGCCGTCATCTGCAGTCAGGACACGCCCACTCCTTCTGATCGTCACTGTGAGCTCTGCTGGGTGGAAGCCTGTGGCGAGGCAGGTCAGCACCACGTTTGTATCCACTGTGGAGGCCTTTGCAAACGTATAAACCTCAGGCACAGCTGGAGGAGAAGGATGTTATGTGTTTGTAGACTTTCTGCCCAGTTTGACCCATTTAGCAGACGTCAGCCTGTTTAAGGCTCTGATATCTATTCTGTGTGACTTACAGCAGTTATGACATGGTCTGATTTTCTCACCCAATAAAGGAATATTTACTATATCAGTCGACTCTTCATTCTATCAGACACAGTTATCACAGCTCGTACATTTGCTTTTTACACATGTATGTAAGCATTGAGCCAAATTTAGTAATGCCAACATATTAAACGAACAATATTTGTCTCTTATATATGATACATCTGTATACACACTGTCAAAGGTACTCGTCTTTGAGTGAAGATTTAAGGTGATAGGACATATAAATAAATACAACTTGAATCTTTACTGAAGCTCAGTGTTTGACACAGAGTTCACTCACATGAATTTCACTCAAATGTGCTGCACCAGTGTACCTGCACATGTGATGTGACAATAAAAGTGATTTGATTTGCCTGCCCCCCTGGCAACACTTTGCTAGACCCGCCCCTGCACAGTTACCAGCTGTCAGCTGCTTAGAAAAGGATCCTGGTGTTATTTGTCTCTCAGAAACAGTTCATAACTTCAACTCATCCATGTGACCTAAAAGGTAAACCTGTTTCTCCATCACCTGTTCAGCTCTGATGGTTCAGTAAGGACATCTCCTGGTTTCATCTTCATGTTTCCCTCTCACCATATATCCAAACCGACATCATGACCAGCAGCTTTACAGCTGTGGCTCCAGCAAACATCAGCTGATACTAAAAAGTAATATTAAATAAATTCTAACAACAGCTGATCAAGCTTAAACGTGCTGCTGTTGTTTAGCACGACATCCGCTGGTTTCCTGTTTCTGGCGCAAAGTGGGCGATAAACAAACAAGAGAGCCGATCAGCTGATCATTGATCAGTTTCATGATTGAAGTAGCAACAGGAGAGGGAGGGGGAGAGAATGAGAGAAGAAGAAGCAGCTGTGCAGCAAAGACACAGAGTAACTCCAGCTTTGTGTCTTTTTCATTGTAGCTGAATTACGGGACAAACTGTTCCTTTTCACCTCAACACGAAAATTTCTCTGAATACGAGACGATTCTGTCTTTTTACAGGATGGTTGGAAACTCTAATAATTAACCGTATGAACAAAATAAAGTTCAACATCAGTAACATAGCACCACCCAGCTGTATAGAAACTCCATCATGCTAGCTAGCACGCAGTATGAAAAAGTCAGCACAGCTAAAATAAACTCCACCTAAACCTGGTTCATATCTGACCCAGATGGACTGCAGGTCATAACTTCTTACCTGAAGTTCAGTTCACCTGACACTCTCGGACCGGCGGCCGCCTCGGGTCTCTCCTCCTGCCTCACCTTTTGAATCTGAATCTGTGGAAGCTCCGCGATGCCTCCACACGAAGTTCCAAGTCTATCTAAATCCCAGTAACGAGTAACGCGTTCCTGGTTTTGGCATAATGACTAGTTACCGTGCTCGTTACCACAATAATAATGTAGTTATTATAATGTAGGGGGCAGGGATAGCTCAGTAGGTAGAGTGGTGGCCCCATGATCGGAAGGTCGGGGGTTCGACTCCACTGAACGGCTACCCTGAGGTACCCCTGAGCAAGGTACCGTCCCTACACACTGCTCCCCGGGCGCTGCACTGGTGGCTGCCCACTGCTTCACTGGGTGAATGGGTTAAATGCAGAGGAACTATTTCCCTATGGGGACTAACAAGCTCACTTTACACTTTTAGTTACTGTAACGCGTTACTTAATAACGCGTTAGTCCCAACACTGTTAGGGACATTCCCAAATATACCACAGGAAACCAGACTTGAAACTTTCCTGTAAGACACTAAACACGGCTCCATAAAAAGCCTCACTTCCTGTGCTTTTAAAACACAAGAAGCGGATCTCATTTGGACTCTGATCCTAACATCTGGATGCTTCAGTACGGGGAAATTAACAGTCTGAACTGACATGGACTCCCCTTTTTGAATTTACTAACATGCCTGACCTTCAGGGACTGATCAGTACTACTGTCTTCTGGTTTGTCTACAGATTTTACTAACTTATTTTTATTCTACTTTACTTTGTTTCACCTCCTAAATGTTTGTGTTAAATGGAACTGTTGAAGTGAATTTAACCGTGTACATCGTGGGGGCAGCGCTGGTTATGGTAGCTTTGTTTATCCTTTATTTACTGATTTTATCGTAAAATAGAACGAACAGCTGTGAAGCTTTACCAGATGTTAATGATCATATGTTCTTACTTTAAAACAGCGGTTCCCAAACTTTTTTTGCTACCCCCCCTTTGTTTTACAAGAAAAATGTTTGCCCGCGTGAACACGCGCACACGCGCACACGCACTCACAAACACATCCTCCAACACACCCGTATTTTGCTCCATTGCGGTTTATTTCACACCTCAAACATTTAAGCAATTAAGTTTATTTTAATTATTTAATGTTAATTTTAATTTTAAAATTAAATTAAATTTTAAAATTACATTAATTAAAGTTAGTTTAACTAATTAATTTAATTTAATTTAATTTAATTTTAAAATTAAATTAAATTTTAAAATTACATTAATTAAAGTTAGTTTAACTAATTAATTTAATTTAATTTAATTTTAAAATTAAATTAAATTTTAAAATTACACTAATTAAAGTTAGTTTAACTAATTAATTTAATTTTAAAATTTAATTTAATGTGAATTTTAATTAAATTAACATTTAAACAATTAAGCAAATACAAGTAATCTGCAAAACATTACAGGTAAGGAAATAAACTACTAACTCTTTTAGGCTATACGTCCACACCTACACTAGTACTTTTGAAAACGCAGCTGTTTCGTCCAAACGTAAACGACGTTTCGAATCATCAAAAACGGTCGAAAACCTTCATCAACACCTGGCTTTAAACATCTGTAGAGCTCTAACAGTGTTTTCAGTGGTTATCATGAAGTAAACTTTATTAAAAAGTCCTTATTTGTTTATTCATTGCAGATTTTAGTAATTAGAGTGTTTGTGGGTGACAAACATACAGAAGTGAAGGTCAGCAGCAGGATTCATATTACAGGATAAAAATAAAACTTTGGCAGCAGCTGCAAATTTCTCCACGCTGTGACGTCACCCCACTCTTCGGCGGCTCTAACCTTGTATCGTGTAATCTGCCCAGCAACCGCAGACTAGTTATCTGATTGGCTGCTGTCGGTCTGAAGAAGGCGGGTGTAAATGGAGGCAGCCAGTCGTCTGTAGCGCCCCCTACAGGCGGCAGCAATAATAATAATAATAATCATAATAATAATAATAATAATAATAATAATAATAATAATAATAATAATAATAATAATAATCATAATAATAATAATAATCATAATAATAATAATAATAATAATAATAATAGCAACCCGCGGGGACCGTGGGCTTGTTCTGAGCAGGTTTCTGTTTTTCTGAAGATTTTTGTCGCATCAAAATCATGAATTTCACAAAGACCTGGATCTTTTTGTTTCTGCCCTTCCTGTGGGTGAACGTGGGCCCGGCTGGAGGCGGTAAGTGGGCGGCATTGACAGACAGGAAGTGTGTGTTCGTTTAATCTCGCCCCCACCGACCTTAAATAAGAGCTTGATTCTGGGCTTTTCTGCACATCTGTGGCTGAAAGCTCGTCAGTGGACTGACTCACACTCAAAGTCTGGCTCTTATTCCTTCTGTTAATCGATCATCTGACTGTTTGAGCTTTTAGTCCATCTCATAATCCAGACTCCTGTTAGGACATGTTGACCTTTAACCTTCATAAATAGATGGATCAGCCAGTTTATTCATCAGGTTTTAATCTCTTCACATAAACGGAAACCCGTTTAGAGGCCTGTCCCGTGTGTGTGTGTGTGTGTGTGTGTGTGTGTGTGTGTGTGTGTGTGTGTGTGTGTGTGTGTGAGTTGGTTGACATATAATAACTCATCAGCCGATTCTTCTTCATCTTTTGGTTTAATATTTGTTGTTAGTGTTACAGAATGATCCCATAGACACACACACACACATATGGAAACACTTGTTATGAACATCTGGGGTCCATACAGATGTTTCTGTTTTCCAACATATTTAAGGAAACAAAAAAAAGTTAAGTTATCTCAAAGTCTTTCAGTTCTTCCTCCTGTGAACATGAGTCCAGCTGTTGTGGGTGAACATCATTTAATTGGCTCATTCTTGTGTTACATTAGTACACACTGTCTGTCCTATGATTTTAATATTAAAAAAAATAAAATGCCCATTTGTTTCAGAATTATGAGTCACTAAAAGTAATTATTATTAAATGTTATTAGATTATAGCTACTGATTTATTTTTTTATGTAGTCACAAACCCCGCCCATCAGAAGCGTCCGTTTCCTTGGATGAGTTTGTTTGTGTTACTTCAGCATTTCTTACAGTTTAACAAGTCCCCACGAACCCCCGTGAGTCCGACACGTGTTTAATGTGCGCAGATGAAATGTTTTCGAGAGAACAGCTCGATCAGCTGACGCAAACTGCTGCAACGAGGAAATAAAACACGGAGCAGGAACCAGGAAGCCCTGCGACACATTCACTGATCTAAGCTTAAACGTGTAAATACTTTCATCAGGCACGGCTGGTTAAGTCTTTAATCCGCACAGGGTCAAATCTGAAAAGTGATCATTTTAGTTTAAAAGGTTTAAACTATTCTAAAGAACCACAAACACGTGAAACACGCACAGATTATTATTTTTTTAATTAATCTTTTTCCAGGGTAGACTTTGAGTAAAAAGTGAATCCTGTTTCTCTGAGCTGAGTTTTTCAGACTGATCAGTGAGCGCTGAGGTGAAGGTGTCCGTGTTATCGGTCCTTCAGGTCCTGGTGGTCTGGGCTGCGTTAAAAAACTCAGCTTGGCTTCTTAAGTTTGTGAAATCCTTCCAGTCGGGGACATTTGGGGTCTTTTCAACCACTCAAACCGGAAGCTTCTGTCTCTGTGATTAAATAAATAAATGCAGTTTGTGGGACAGTTTGAGCTCCGTTGGTTCTACCTGCTCTCTCACCTTTGTCAGTTACGTAAACACAAAGCAGGCCAGCAGGTGGGCGTGACTTGAAGGCGTCTGTGGTTTACGAGCGGCAGTGAATGCAGCAGTGAGCAGACACAGTCAGGAAATAGAGACGATCACTTCAGGAAGGACGCGTCCGACCGAAAAGCGGATAAATCTGAGACTTTTACCGAGCAGAGGCTCTGATTCGGAGTCACGATGATCTTGTTCGCGGTGGTGGTCCTTCTGGGGACGGCGCTGACCGTAAACTGCGGTGAGTTTGCGCTTTTTTACCGACGCTAGCGGAGCGGGTCCAAACCGAAAGTAAAAACGGACTGTGACGTCGCAGAAAAACAAAAGTTCAGACGACGATTTTAGTTTAATTTATCGGTATTAAACGGAGATTTCTGAGTGTTTCGGTGCCGTGGCGTGACTCTGTGCACCAGGTGTGTGAAAGTGGGAAATAAGAAAGCGCTTTAATCCTCCCAGGAGTTTCTCAAGTTCAGCTGCTGCCGCGGGTCTGCTGAGGCCCGAAGAGAAACACTTACAGACACAAATACTGAACATTTTATGGATTTAAGTTTTTCATTTAAATTCTTGGCTGTGTTTTAAGATCAGACAGTTTCGTATAAACTGCTGAGTTCAAAACCTGAAAACTTCAAAGCTGACTGAAGATCACGGCTGTAAACTGTGTGTGTGTGTGTGTGAGTGTGTGAGTGTGTGAGTGCGTGTGTGTGTGCGTGTGTGCGTGTGCGTGTGCGTGTGTGAGTGTGTGAGTGTGTGTGTGTGTGTCTGTGTGTGTGTGTGAGTGTGTGTGTGTGTGTGTGTGTGTGTGTGAGTGTGTGTGTGTGTGTGTGTGTGTGTGTGTGTGTGTGTGTGTGTGTGTGTGTGTGTGTGTTAACCAGTGCGATAATACAGGTTAGAGTCCTCTGGTTTATAGCAGTGGACTTCGTGTTAGCGGTTGTGAATCATGTCCTGACACTCGTCAGTTCTCAGTAAACAGGTAAGAACAGGTGTGTCGCTGTGAGCTGCTGAGCCGGACTGATCGCATCGTTATCATATCTGTGACGTGACGACCAGTCAGAAGCATCTCAGAGTTTACTGTAAACAACTTGTTTTTCTGCTTACCTGAGACAGGTGCGAGATCTGAAAATCTTTGATTGAATTAGTAACATTTCCCCACATTCAGTGAACGCACCTGAGACACTGCAGGGTTTTTTCCCACGCTGACAGAAACACGTCACTCGTGTCTCTTTACACTTCTCTGTCGGTTTGAGGTCAGAGCTGCTGATCAAAGCTGAAATCAAAGGTATAACTTTTAAATGAAACGGATTACTGCTGTGCTGATGTTGTTTCAGGTCTGTGAGGTGACGTTTTTGACGTTTACACAGGAATGTTACAATGATCTCTTTACCAGGAGAACAGCTCATGCTGAGGAAAACTGTTTATTATTGTAACAAGTGATGATTCATTTTATTACATTTATTTATTTTTTACATTTAGTAATAAAATGTGACAATAATACTGATAGTTTCTCTCAGTCAAGTCTGCCTCACTAGTTTCCTTTGTTCATTATTTTGATAAGTTTTAAATTCAGTTTAGTTTTTAAAGTTTAAACATATTTTCTTAGAGTTTTTATTACTTTTGATGTTATTGTGGGTGTTATTAATAATCAAAGGAGCTTGCAAAGAAAAGCGTCTGGACTTCTTTAAGTTACTTGAAGACGTTTCACCTCTCATCCGAGAAGCTTCTTCAGTTCTAAGGTCAAATGGTGGAGAGTCCCAGATATAAACCTAGTGGGAGTTTCCCCCCACAGAGGGACAAAAGGACCCCTGATGATCCTCTAATCGCCTGAGCCAAGGTGTGAAACTGGGTGTGGGTCCCAATCAGCCAGGGTTTCAGGTGAGCTCAATGCAGCAGCTTCGGCAATGGAGACGCTGAACATGGTCCATTCGGACTCAATGTCCCCAGCCTCCCTCGGAATGCTGTTGAAGCTCTGCCAGAGGTGTGCGTTGAAGATCTCGCGGACTGGGGCCTCTGCTAGATGTTCCCAGCACACCCTCACTACGCGTTTAGGTGCACCAGGTCTGTCCAGCGTCCTCCCCCGCCATCTGATTCAACTCAGGTTGGTGGATTGTGTGATGTAAGAAGATATAAACAGATTGCAGTACCTGCAGCTGACTGATGGTGGCGCACACATTCTGCTGTGAGTGGACCGAAGCTGGCTCTGCAGTAACCAAACAGAGAGACTAAGAATGATATCTTTAATTTTTTAAATATTTTCAATAGTTTTGTAAGATTTTCTGTCAGTTTTCTTCAGGTTTAGTTCATTACTGTAACCTGACATAATGTTCTGTGACTGTCACCGGTTAACTTAAACATCCAGACTGGACTCTAGTTCTTGTTCTGTGTGGAATCATCGTTGTTGTTAGAGCTGTCTCTATTTTCTTTAACAACTGAATGAACAGCGTTTTCATATAGAAAATTTCCGTTCAGCAGAGAATAATCTAACTTTATTAGATTAGATAAAACTTTATTAATCCTTCCGGTGGGTTCCTCTGAGTAATTCAGTTTCCAGTAGCACCGACAGAAGTTGCACGTTACAGAGTTGGAATACCAAAACAAGGGGAGTGAGAGAGTATGGAAATAAGCATAAATATAGCATATATACATGTATACACATATGTAAATACAGAACATATAATGGGGATAAAGGGGAATACTAGTGAAATATAGTCAATTCAAAATTTATTTCTATAACGTGTATATACGTTTAAAAAAACAACAGTCGACCAAAGTGCTTCACAATCGGTTAAAAACAAGAGAAAACAATAGAGAAACAAATAGAGATCAATAAGAAGACAGTGAATTAACAATAAAAACATAAAACAGGCCTGAAGGTGCTCATGCTGAACTCGAATTAAAAGCCAAAGTAAAAAAGTGAGTTTTAAGATGCGATTGAAAAGATTAAATCGACTCTGAAGTACGAATCTCCTGTGGCAGATTATCCCAGAGTCTGGGTGCTGCTGCGAAGGCCCGATCTCCTCTGTGCTTCCATCGAGACCTTGGTCGTGCTGAGAGCATCTCGATTATCTCAGCGCTCTTTTGGGGTCATACATGTTGAGGAGTTCGTTTAAATAACTCGGCACCATTTTATTTAAAACTCTGGGCTGAGTGTAGATGTCACACATCTCATTGATGAGATCTAGACCGCCACAGTCCATTGCACATTTCAACTATTGTGAGTCTATTGCACAGTGATTGTTGCACAGTTGAATATAAAAAACACTGCAGCGTCGTTGCTCCCGCCCTCCTTCGTCCTCCTGTTTCCCCTCCAGCGAGGAGTTTGTTGGTCCAAGACTTTGAGAGGAGCAACCTGTCACTGAACAGACTCCTCTGGTTGTTTATGACCACATGCAGAGGATGTCCAGCATTGTCCATAATGTCCAGCAGCTTCTTTCTCCTCTTCTCTGCCACTGTCACCAGAGTGTCCAGCTTCATGCCCACCACAGTTAAAAACCAAACCACGTTTGTACCGAAACTCGTAAAACCGCATAAGTGTTTGTAAACGTGAGCTAACTGAAGGCCGAGCGAGAGGAGGAAGTGTTTTGCTCTGCCTTTAAACATCAGTCAGGTTTGTAGATCAGGTGCAGCGCACTGACGTCTACACATGGCCGAGAACAGAAACTGAAAACAGCTTCAGCTTTAGGCTGTGTCCCAATCCAGCGACCGCACGCTTCGGCGCACTACGTACGTTGCGTACTACAAGTACGAGAAGTGCGGAAGTAAGAGGCCTGTGAAATGGGACGGTGACAGTGTGTATACAGATGTATCATATATAAAAGACAAATATTGTTCGTTTACTATGTTGGCATTATTACGTTTGGCTAATTTGGCCATTTAAAATGTACGAGCTGTGATAACTGTGTCTGATAGAATGAAGAGTCGACTGATATATGAAATATTCCTTTATTGGGTGAGAAAATCAGACCATGTCATAACTGCTGTAAGTCACACAGAATAGATATCAGAGCCTTAAACAGGCTGACGTCTGCTAAATGGGTCAAACTGGGCAGGAAGTCTACAAACACATAACATCCTTATAGAATATGATGTAACACTATAGATCAACTTAGCTCAGAATATATAAAGCATATAAACAGTTACAGCAACATGATGCAACAAACACAGCAGCTACTGATCCAAAATACTCAAAGCTTCATAGAACTGAAACCAACATTTATTTTAGCTCCATCCTGCTGCTGATACAGACTTTAGGTTTCTGAACATTAAACTTGTTGCTGCCTTTCATAGTGTGTAACTTGAAGGCCCTGAGTACTCTGAGTACTTTCTCCCACACTGGAAACACTGGGATGATAACATTCTGTGAACATTACCTAATAAGACTGATTCAGCACAGACAGTTATGTTAAACTTTCCTAGCAGTCCTTCACAAACAGGGAACAGTCTGTCTATTCTCTCCATCTGTCAGCTGCTGCTGGCTCTTCCTCCTCCTCTTCCTCACACACTGCTGAGTTTGTCCTGGTGGATCATCAGGGCTGCAAAGCCTCACAGATGATGTGCAGCAGTGGCTCCCTCAGTCTGTCCTCACTCTGGACACTTGCAGTCGTCACACATGGAAATCAAATGTGTGATAAGCTGCAGGATTCAAACACAAGTGTAACTTATAAACACATGTTCATACTTTTATTCCACAATCAGAGAGAAAGAAACAGAGAGAGAGTGCAGGACAGACAGACAGGTGACAGTCTCAGGTGTACACACTGCTACACAACAGCACAGAGAAGCAGGATTTAGTGTTTGTGTTATTACGAGTGTAAACAAGAAGAGTTCCAGATGGTGCAGTGGACACATGTGTGACTGCTGTGATTAAAGCATCTTTCTTTCAGCTTAACGAGTGAACCGTCAGCTCGTTCAAACACACGTTAAAGTCCGTTTGGCTCGACACCACCGAACAGAGGCAGCAATATAACACAGCTAACATTAACAGTGCAGTGGATCCTGCTTGTGCCGTGATGTTCAGGACTGCAAACCGAGCAGCATCACTGACTTTCAGCTTGTTGTGTTTGTGGATATATGACTGACTTTAATTATCCATAAAATCATCAGATTCTCTGTCAGATTAAGGTCGACTCTATATATATATATATGTAGAGCAGGGGTGCTCAATACGTCGATCGCGATCGACCAGTCAATCGCAAAGGTAGTATTGGTAGATCGCATGGCATTAAAAAAATAGATGCCAGCCTATCATCCATCCCGTCACTTGATTGATACAGGGAAGCCAGTCAGATGACATCAGATTTTTTCTGACGCTTAGGTCGCTGCGCATGCGCAAACAGCGGCGCGAAGTGTAGTAAAACTGACAAGCTAGTCAGCGAGTTAACTCCAATTTTTAGCTCTCGGTTTTTTCTCTTAAACCTGGCCGTCAGCAGCTACTGTCCGGACTATGCATCCCTGGCTGATTCAATTCAGTGCAAGTCATCAGAATAAACTCAGGTAATGACAAAAAATTTACATAGTTAATTGTGTTGTGAAATATTGGATATTGCGGTTATGCATGTATATACATTGTAGATATAAAGAATCCTCAATATATTTATAAATAAGTATATGTTTTGGATTTTTGTAGTGGGTAGATCATTTTGACTTGGTCATTTTATAAGTAGCTCACATGCGGAAAAAGTGTGAGCACCCCTGATGTAGAGGCTTTAAAACCAAGTTAGTACAAACGTCACTAACGTCACATGACTTTGCCGACATGTGACCAACAGTAATGTTTTAATGTTCTTCATTATCAAACATTTGCACATAAATAAGTGACACAATATTCAGTACTTACTTTTGACAGTTCACTCTTCGGCCGCTCCCTTCTGCCGTATTTTGCGGCAAAATTATCCACACCCACCGCCGCGCTATGAATTGTGGGATATATGGGACCATAAAGCGTGCACCGGACCACGATTGATATTTGGGGAAATGAACTGCGCATTTGGAGTATGCATTTAGTGTACACGTCGGATTGGGACAGCCGTCGCCGCGTCGCCGTGACGTAATAGGTCTCAAAACGTGTACTCCGGAGCGTGCGGTCGCTGGATTGGGACACAGCCTCTGGCTGAACGTTACAGATGGTCAGTAAGCAGCTGTTGTTACTTTAATTTTAATTATCAGGAAAACAACTTCAATGCACGTGTCTGGTCTGCTGCTGCTTCTCAGCTGTCACACATAAATAAATTAATATTGTGTGTTTTCCTACCTGTGGGATTTCAGAAAAACACTCCCTCCATTACATCTACACGGCGCTCTCCAAGCCTGTTGGCCTCCCGGGCATCCACGAGTTCACAGCCATGGGTTTGATGGACGGCAGGATGATCGACTACTTTGACAGTGAGAATCAGGCAAAAATTCCCAAACAGGATTGGATGAGAGAGCGTTTACCTGCTGATTACTGGGATAAAGGCACACAGTCCCGCAAGAGCAAGCAGCAGTGGTTCAAGGTCAACATCGGCATCCTGATGGAGCGAATGAGACAGAATGACTCAGCCAGTAAGTCTTTGCTTTATTTCAGTGACAAAGCGAGGCCTGATTAATCCTGACCCACACATCATGGTGTCCTCTTTCTCTTTCCTTCAGCCCCTCACGTTCTTCAGTGGATGCACGGCTGTGAGGGTCAGACGCAGCCTGACGGCACGCTCAGGTTTGTCCGAGGCATGGACATGTACAACTACGATGGAAACGACTTCCTGTCCTTCGATGATAAAAACGGAGTCTGGGTCGCTCCGACTCCGGAGGCAGAAGCCACCAAGAGGAAGTGGGACGGCGTCCAGGTGCTGAAAGAGTACACCAAGGGATACCTGGAGAACGAGTGCATCGATTGGCTGAGCAAGTTTGTGAATTATGGACAGAAGCAGCTCGAACAGAAATGTATGTTTGTCATAAATATTAGTATTATTAGTCCACATGTGCCAAGCCTTACAGAGAGTGTTGAATATTGTTACGGTTTAAAAAATTAAATCCAAATGACTAAAGTGTCAAACACTTACGTCCTCACGTGCACATCCATTCAGCACCGTCTGGAAAAGATTAAACTTTTAAAGTCTTAAATGGAACTCCAGACTCTGCCGTTCCAGCCGAATCATAACTGAGTGTAGTTAAAGTATAAATGATAAAGTATAGTTCTGAGACAATAGACCCTGATTAGCCAAACGGCAGCCATTTGGACATGAAGCAGTCACAAACCCAGGTGTTGACTAAATAGAGCACAGCCTTCATTATTATTAACACCACATGTTTAACGACTGCTGTTACAAAGGCAGTGAGCCCCACCGTCTGTTTGTATGCACGATATTCACTGCATGGTGGAAAGTCTTACTGTAACAAAGTACTGAAGGTACCAGCTGATTCCATGAGTTAATCAGTGTTCCAGTTACCACATGTGGTGACACAGTTTTCCATTTCCTGCTTCCAGCTCCACCTGAGGTGTTTGTGTTTGCAAAGAAGGCCAAAGTGGAGACAAACCTCATCCTGACCTGCCTCGCCACAGGCTTCTACCCCAAAGACATCATCGTGAGGATCAGAAGGAACGGACGTGTTCTGACTGCAGTCGACGGCCTGACGAGCTCAGACGTTCTTCCAAATGACGATGAGACCTTCCAGAGACGAGACCATGTGGAGATTTTGAAGTCTGACCTGTCAAAGTTCAGCTGTGAAGTCTTTCATGAGGCGACCGGTGTGAATGTTATGAAGCTTTGGGGTAAGAAACTTTATTTATTGCCTCTGTTGTTGATCATAACTCTGTTTCTTCAGTCAGAGCCTGGAGCTCCTCTGTGTCCAGCAGATCTGCATCATTCTGTCCTGATCACAGTCCTGAGGTCAGATCCATGTCAGTCCATCTAGAACTAAGCTAGCATGTCACATGTAGCCCAGCTCTGCAGCCCTGAAGAAGCAGAGCAGCGATCTCCTCCAGAGCATCACTGAATAGTTCCAGATATGAACAGTTTCAGTGCCGTCCCCTCTCACTGACCTCCTGTTGCTGCTCCACATCACTGCTGTCAGATCACTGACTCCATCATGACTGTGGCTTCAAATCTACATCTCAGTAACAAACAGCAGCAAATAACTGACAGTGACCTCAACCTGAAGCTTGTGTCTGTGTTTCAGAGAACGGTGACCCTCCGGAGGAACATGGACCTGGAGCTCTGATCGCTGGTGCAGTGGGAGGAGTCTTGGCTCTGGTTGCTCTTGTTGCTGTAGTTGCCTGTGTGATCTTGTATAAAAAAGGCTATCTTGGTAAGTCCAGTGTGCTGTTGTGTGTAATTACTGTTGAGTGGAGCTAAAATGTTTGTCTTTGTATCCTGTAAAAATGAAACTGTCCTGGTCTCAGACAGTGATGACATGGAGCTGTTACTGATCATCACATTTGAAACACATGAAGAAAATCATTGAAATGAATGTAAGAAATGTTGAATATCAGCTGCTCCAGTCTGTCAGCCTTCAAACACTTCACTTAGTATTCTATTAGGACTCCATGAGGGGGTCAAAGGTCACAGTCATGTGACATGATGTCAGACTTTCCTGTCTGCAGCTTCTGATCCAATAACTTTGAGCCCTCTGGGACATAAATGTAGTTTTTCTGTGCAGAACAGAAATGATTGATGTTTGCTGATAGTGTGCAGCTCGTTTCCTCCACCATCTCCACTCAGACACATCTGCATGTAGAGCTGAAACTTTTCAACAACAGTTAGTCTGGATCACAGTAAACTGTAGGATTACACTTCAGCATGTGAGTCATTCACACTGCATGTTAATGAACACGCTGCTGACTGAGGCCTGATGATGATATCAGAGTTGAGCTGCTTCACACATGTAGAACAAACCACTGAGTTCATCCATCATCACTGACAGTCTGTGTTACGTCTCTTTACAGGACGCAGACGTCGAGCCAACGACAACAAAGGTAACATCTTTATTTTGCTGTCTTATAAAGTTTGATGCCTGCACACGTGTGTGTGTGTGTGTGTGTGTGTGTGTGTGTGTGTGTGTGTGTGTGCAGGCAACAGCAGTGTTAAGTTTGTTACTCTGCAACAATTCATATAGAAAAGATTGTACAAGATGAGCTGTAACATTTTGTGTTTGTGTGTGTTTAGGCAGCAGCAACCCAGCAGGCATGCCTCTTATGACAGGTAAGTGTTTCCTTGTGCAGAGATTTTCATACATACAGCAGTGTAGCAGATGAGTTTAAATATTTTGTGTGTGTGTGTGTGTGTAGGCAATGGCAACGGAAATGGAAGCAATCGTAAGTTTGTTACTCTGCAAAGATTTATGTAGAAAGGATTATAGAACATGACCTTTGACATTTTGTGTTTGTGTGTTTCTATGTGTGTTTCTATGTGTGTGTAGCATCCAACATTTCGACCATCAGCCAAACTGACAATGAAGTCACAACTCAGAATGGTAAGTTTTCCCCTGAAGCAATTTACCATGAAGCTGCTAGTGACAGGAATATCTCAGCAGGTAGAGTGATTGCCCCATGATCGGAAGGTCGGGAGTTTGAATCTACCCAACATTAATATGAAGGTCACATTAATTAAGCAGCAGAGTCCATAAATAACTCTGAACCTACAGTACCAAAGTTTGTGATTTGCCTTTTCAAAATAATTCTCGAATGCTGAAATTCTCAATGGCCACACATCAAAAACTACATCTACATTTTTCCAAGGCTAATAAGTCAGTCTTAAACATAAATTAGGGGTTGGGTTTACTTTAAGGTGGACGTCAGTGCAATGCTCACCAACTGTTAATTTACTGCACAAACACAGAAATGCACTAAAATAGAGGTCATATTAGAGGTTGTTAATACTTTTTCATGTGTCCACAGCACCCCCCACTGGCCGCAAAGGTAAGTGTGTTCATCTGCATATAAAAGAAAAGAAAGAAAGTATAGGTTAACATTTTTTGGACTGAATCTGAAAACATCGTCCTTCCTTCACAGGGTCAAAGGATTCCACTGAGACCAACAGTAGCTCTGGCGTCTCTTGTAAGTATTTTTGACAGTTGCTGTTTTAGGTTTATGATTTGGATTTTGAGGGTTTAACAAAAAACATCACTTATAACTTTAATGATATTTTAACGCAAAGAAAATGCAGGTTTGCCAATGAAAATATAAGCACAAACCAGAGCAGGTAGGTCTCTGTATTGTTCTAAAATAAGTTTGTTTGTCCCTGCAGCTGAGACATCTCAAAGTTCACCCCAAACTGCAGAGGAGGAGCGTCTAATGCCGTCATCTAGCCAGGAGACTGTCTGAAATCTTCACAAGAACTTCCATCAGAGCACATAGATTGGAGCCTGACTTAAACTACAGATATATCGATCAGTGCACAAGCATTACGACTAAGGGTGGTTAGTTCCAACATTTTAGACAACAGAAGCATCAGCAGTAAAATGAAGGGTTTTTTAAAATTAACTTTTAAAAATCACTGGTGGGTTACTCAAACATTTAAAATCGGGTTTTTACAGCACTGAGGATAAAATAAGTGACAAGCTTTAAGGTAAATCTTTGAAAGGCACTGAAGGCAAATGGTAAAATCGAGTCTTCACAGCAGTGTTGTTCAATAAAGTTTCTCAGGTGGAAAGAAGAGTCCTCTGTGGTCATTGAATGAGTGTATAAAAGAAAAGGACATTTTATTTTAGTTAAAAAGAAACGATGGCTGCTGGGAATAAAGCTTAATGAGAACCAGTTTGGTGCCTTTGTTGATTTGATCCTTCTAGCTTAAACAGTTTTATGAATCGCTGAGAGCACTGCAGCATGTGACAATTGGATTTTACATGTCCTGCTCTAATCACTGTTGTGGGCTGATGAGGATAAAACAGTCATTTTTTTACCAATATTATTATGATAAATGTTTGATGTCTTCATTAACATTTAGTGAAAAAATGGATCATTTAAAACTATCTGATACTCTGTGAATAGATTTTTCATTTTATTGCAGCTTTAAATTTAATTTGCAGGCCGTGAGATTTAGAAGCTTTTACTGTCGGAGCTTTAGGGCAGAATTCTTGAAAGTTTGATGATTATCTTTAGTGTTATATTTACAAATAAGCTTTGAAGCTGAAGAGTTTTTATACTTGTGATCAGTAGCTATACTTTAATTCATGCTGTTATTCATCTAAAAGATTGGGCTGGAGTTTTTTACTGTGCTGACTAATGCAATAAAGGATTTTAAACATAATGACTTTATGGATTTTACCTCTCTGTAACTTTCAAAGAAATAGATGATACAAAGGTTTATTCCTTATGATAAGAGGGTTTTCGTCTTCATAAATCTGTGAAATACCTGCTGTGTGTCCTTCTCAGTGTAAAAAAAAGAAAAGTGTAATCCTGAAACATCTTTGAAATGTGTTTCAGTCGTTTGTGCAAAATGCACAGAGGTAATACGCTCATGTATGTTTTCTTTCAAAGAAAAATCCTCAACCTATTCTGTGTGAATCAGATTACTCTTTTCAAAAATAAAGAAAAAACTTTCTCTGTCTTGTTTGTGTTGTTTTCTTTTTCTCCCCGTTCGAATGCTTTGCTCCAAGATTTTCAGATGTTCAGAAAGTGAGTTTCGTTGCCACACTGGGTGATGTGGACACAATAACTAGTTGTTTTTGTACATGTTGGTTTGTTAAAAGGTCACGCTCTAAATGAAGTGACTAGAGATGTTGTTGAGAGGTCACCGCCATGCGTGTCAGGAAGTGTCACACACACACTTCACTTACACATGCTTGCCTTAAAACTGTCACTTGGCTAACTGAATTATGTGAGATGAGATGATGAGATAGCCTTTATTTGTCAGTTGCAGGTCTTTTGCCCACAACCGAGATGACAGACCTTGCCGACCGTACATACAACACAAACATCACATTGGGGAGACAGGTCAGGCCAGGTAGCGAGGAAAAAAAACATTGAAATGTGCAACACAAAAGGATAACACAGGAATGCACAGATATCAACACACCATAACACAATAAACACAGACAGCAACATGGGGAAGAGTTCCAGTGTGCACATCTGATCTGGGACCTCTGCAATCTTCGACTGCGCCTCCAGCTGACCCGATGTCCACATCAGAGGGGAGGTAAGCGTTGGAGGTGGCGTTGGGAGGGTGATGCGTCAGTGAGTGCTTATCAGTATATGTATGTGTGTGTGTCCAGTGTTCAGCTGAGACAGTGTCCTTCGCCCTGCCAGGCTAAGTAAACAGTCTTCCAGCCAACCCAGGTGGCCTTGTAGGGAATGGGAAGGAACAGACTCAACACAGTCGTTATCAGGGAGTTGTTGTTCAGCTCCAGCCTTGAGCCCACAGCTGGCGCCGAAGGGGCCCTTATGATTGTAATTTTTCTTCGTGACAACTCATGAGAATTTCAAAGCTGTTCTTTAACACTCCGACACTGGTCTCTCAATCTCCTGTTGGAGAACCGCAAGCTTCCCGATGATGGTATCAAACTTGCTGGTGTTTTCATTCTTTTGCCCAAACAGCCGATTCTGAGAACTCACAACTGCAGTGAGACCTCTGTTGTCAATAAAACAGGCTGAAGTGCATTCTAAACAGATCTGTAGTTCAAATTTAGTAGTAGACATTTATTATGTGTCAAAACTGACCCAAACAGTACTGTGATGGTATGAAATATGAACAGTATGTAAGAGTCAAGCATTCACAGCAGCTCTTTGAGTCATTTCAGCTGTAAAAATAAGGATATGTGTTGTCTGTGTCATCGTCTGTTGTCAAGTTTAAAGGTCTGTTGTTATTTTATTATGATTTCATGAAATCCTCAAAGGTCACATTGAACTACCCTGTTACTGATTATGTGATGTAATGTGGGATTTTCCATCAATGAACTAATGGCTGACTGATGTCAGCTATCACTAAGCTTTCATGACAGTTTATGGCTCAGTAACATTTGCAGTTTTTGGTTTCTAATGTGAGAACTGTGACCACCTGTAGTGCGTATATTCAGATATCTTATTTTTAAGTCAGTTTTTCCTGCATCTCATTTCCACTTTCTCCACTGAAACACAGCTTTTAAACATATAAAGTGGATTTGGTGAGACGGACTATTTTTTCCCTTTGTTCTTAAAGCCTGCAGTAAACTGTAGGATTGAGAAACGGTGATGTTAAACATTTT